GAAACTGTACACTGTGCAATCTCAATGAAATGGAAAGCATAAAGCACTTCTGTCCTGTATTAAGGCCTTTTAGACAAATTTGTTTTGAGAGAGAACCTTTAGTGGAAGAGGAAAAAGAAATCAGTGTGCTTAATAGGGAAAATGACCTTAACTAGAAAAAATTTTTTGACTATATTACTAGTGCTACGAATTACAAAAAAGTGATTATAAATGAATTAAATACTTTTTAATTAATATTTAAAACATTAGCAATTAATTTGAATTCCGCCTAATTTCATTTTTGAATTGTAGTTTTAAGCAAAAAGGTAAATTTATATTTCTATTTTTCAATATATTCTTAAGTAACTCTAATCAATGTTTTTAGACTTAAGGCATAATACTTATTTATGTTAATAATTTTTTGAAATTAGACTTAAGGCATAATACTTATTTATGTAAATAATTTTTTGAAATTGAATAATAAAGAAGTAAAATCTAAAAAAATCTAAAAATCTATAACGTTATGTTTCTAAAAATATAATGGTCATGGTGGTGTTTTCAGAATATCAAGAAAAATCCTACGTTCAAAATCCTAAATCCTACGTTTCCATTATGAGATCTTATTTAAATAGGAACTTTTAGTTCATGTATCACTTTAACATTGATTCCAGTTTTAATTTAGATTTCTTATTTTAACTGAACCTTTTAGTTCAATTTATCATTTTTTAACATTTATTTTCGTTTTATTTATATATATCTTATTTTATAGTTTAAACTGAAACTTTAGTTCTACTTATCCTTTTATCGGCTATTTCTAAACCATATGGTAATGCAAATTAAGACGTTGCATAAACATGCATAACGTATATATTATAATACCTACAGACATGGTTAATACGTTATCACGCGACTACCATTTACATCGAGCACCATATAGATGGAAATATTTCTGGTGAAGATAATGTTAAAAGGTGTATGATGACATCTCAGACAATGTTTGCCCAGCGTAACTAAAATCTGGATGTGAAATTGTATTGGTTAACGGCCGACATATGAAAAATTTCGATAGAGAAGAAGATGAACATACAAAAGCAATGGCGCACTGTTATTCGAAACAGCACAGAGGCAAAACAAATGTACCGCACCTTTGTGCTATTACAGAATATAACAAATATATGTGTGGTGTGGACAGGTTTGACCAAAATTTGGCATAATACCGCATTGCTTACAGAGGAAAGAACTGGTGGTTCAGTATTTTTACCTAGTTGATAGATGCTTCCATTCAAAATGCTTGGTAGGTTCATCAAAAAGTGGGAACGAATACGTTACGATCAGATAAGACACTTTGTCGTACCATGCAATCTTAGACATCGTGCTGGTGATTAACGCACGAACAGCAACTGCAGAAAATGCAACTGCAACAATGCAAAAAAACACTGTATAAGCTAATAATTGGCTTTAAAAGTGTTATTCGGATTCTGCTCCATCGAAAAAATCCATTTGTTATTGGTTTGCTGAATTTAAACGTGGTCGTACAGACACCGATGATGGTGAACGTTCTGGTCGTTCATTTGAGGTGGTTCCTCCAGAAAACATCAAAACAGTCTAGAAATTGGTTATATCTGATCGTAAATTGAAACTGCGTGAGATAAAGATATCAAAAGGCAGTGTGTTTACAATTATACATGAACATTTGACCATAAGAAAGCTCTTTTCAAAGGGGGTTGCCGCGTTTACTCACAGTCGATCAAAAACAACAACGTGTTGATAATTCAAAGCAGTGTTGGAGCATGTTTACACGTAATAAATCAGATTTCTTGCGTCGATATGTGACAATGGATGAACCATTGATCCATCACTTTACTCCGGAATCAAAACGATCATCATCTGAGTGGACTGCAGCCGGTGAACCACGTCCGAAGCGTCCAAATGCACAACAGTCAGCTGGAAAGATTATGGCTTCAGTATTTTGGGATGCGCGTAGTATAGTCTTCATTAACTATCTCGAAAAGGGAAAAACCATCAATAGTAACTACTACACGGCATTACTGGATCGTATGAAAGCAGAAATTGTGAACAAACGACTGTATATGGCGAAGAAAAAAATTTTGTTTCACCAAGACAATGCATCATAAAAACGATGGTGTAATAAAAACGATGCCAAAATTGCACGAATTGATTTCTCATGCACCGTATAGTCCAGATCTGGGCCAGGGAATACTGGCTATTCGCTGATCTCAAAAAAATGCTCGCCGGTATGAAATTGATCTCAAATGAAGTAGAAATTGCTGCAACTGAAGCCTATTTTGAGGTAAAAGACAAATCCTTCTACAAGCACGGCATCGAGAAGTAAGAGAAGCGTGGGAATGTATCTATTGTACCTATTGTCCTTGAAGGAGATTATATGGACGAGTGAAATCGATTTTTGATAGAAAAAAATTGTTTTCTTAGTCGCACGACTTATTGAATGATGTGTTAATCAGTGAACGAAAACAAACAATAAAGTACAAAACATAGTGTACTGTTTGTCATCTTTGTTAAAAAACACTAAACGAACAGTACATTAAAAAAGTTCAAAACAATTCAACAATTTTTAGAGTTTGTGTACTTTTCACGAAGGTAGTGCTCATTATAACGATATTTTCACGAAGGTGGTGCTCATTTTAGTTATCTTTTGCCGAAGGTAGTGGTCTTTTTAGTGATCATTTTCCTAAGGTAGTGGTTTTTTTAGCGTTTGTCGAACAAAACGATTTGGAAACGATTGTAATGTGCATTGTTGTTGGTTCGTTTGCATACGAAGAGGAAAAAATTTTGTTTGCATTTGTATTGCATGTATTTTGTTTGTGTATTATTGATAAAGATATTGCGTATGCATTTATTGATGCAAATTTAATATTAGGGGATGAATTACATATATTTAATATTTTATTGCGGTTGAATGACTCGTATTATATTAAAAAAACGTATATTAAAAAAACAAAATTTTAAAATTGTTTATATAATGCAGTAAAAAATTAAAAAAATATTTCAAGAATTTCTGAATATCATATATAATATTTAAATTATTGCATAGAAATATAAAGATTTTATTGTAACAATACGTTTATTGTAATATACATATATTTACTTATTTAACAACTTAACAATTTTAAAATTTTGTTTTTTTGCCTTTTATTGGCATTATAAATATAATACGAATCATTCAACCACAATAAAATATTAAATATATGTAATTTATCCCCTAATATTAAATTTGCATCAATAAATGCATACGCAATATCTTTATTTAAAAACACAAACAAAATACATGCAATACAAATGCAAACAAAATTTTTTCTTCTTCTTATGCAAACGAAGCAACAACAATGCACATTAAAAACGTTTCCAAATCGTTTTGTTCGACAAACGCTAAAAAACCACTACCTTAAAGGGCCCATTAGACATCAACGCTCGTTGTCAACGCGCGCTTGCCATTACACAAACAATTTTTTAAAAATTTTTTAAACACGCCTCAGATAAAACAACAAATATACTAAAAAATCGCTCTCACATGAGAATTTTTTCTCCTACTTTTCTCCTACTTTGTGAAATGCGAAATTTGTTTGTGTAATAGTAACATTTGAAATTTTAAGAAATGTGTTGACGAAAATCAAAAAATTTTGATATTTCTTCAACCACGCTCGTGTTTTTGCATGTACAGTCGGATTTGGTCGGCATGCAAAATTTAATTTATTTTGAGGAGTAGAAGCGTAAACATCGTTTAAATGCACGCATGATTCGTCGTTAGCAAGCGATCCTTTGCAAATATGAATGAATTGTATCTTTTATTTTAAATATTTGTATTTTCTAAATAGGTAAAATTTTTTAATTTCCAAAACATGTTATTAAGAAGATTAAAATATTAATAACCTTGGGCTAAAAAAAAATAACTAAACATTAAGTTACAATGAAAATTTTGTTTTAAATATTAATTGCATTGTGCATTTACGGAAAATTTGTTATTAAAATATACCAAAAAAAAAAAATTAAATTATATAAAATATAATATATATAAAAATAAATATATAAATTGAAATCATAAAAATAAATATAAATATATAAATTAAAATTATAAATTAAATGTAAAACATCATTTTTCGTAAGGAAATTACGCATAGCAGCCGCTGTCGACACTTCAGCGATTGCTTTAATACTGATGAGTGAACAAATTTTGCATTGTTTGCTGGAGGCGTGTTAAAAAATTGTTGGTAAATTTAATGTGTAATGGCAAGAGAAGACTTCGTGTGTTTGTCAACGCGCGTTGATGTCTAAGGGCCACTTAAGAAAATGATCACTAAAAAGACCACTACCTTCGGCAAAAGATAACTAAAATGAGCACTACCTTCGTGAAAAGATCGTTATAATGAGCACTATTTTCGTGAAAAGTACACAAACTCTAAAAATAAAGTTTGTGTTCGCAGACACAAACTTTAAAAATTTTTGGATGTATTTCGGACATGAGCAGTACACTACGATACTGTACTGTTTATTTTCGTTCACTGATGTTAATAGGTACATCATATAAGTTATAGAATAAGTACATAATTACTTGGAAATTTTTTGGCTTATTTTCTAATAAGTAAGATTTCAGTAAACAAATTATAAACTTTGTATCCATACCTATCAAATTTGATTTATGAACTATTTTAACCATTTCGCGGACCTCTGCTTCAAAGGAACGATGTATTATAAACGATAATATTAAATTTAATAAATATCAAATAGAAAATTAATTAATGGAGATTGATAACCCTTAGATTTTATATGCATATGTCAGTTTAATGTTCCTTTGTACTCTATGTGTAATTCAAATTAAGTAGAGCTAATTTGACTTCCGTCGTTCAATCGAACAGCGTGACTTGTCTTGCTTGCTAATAATTCATAAATTCATAAAAGAAAACTGCTAATAGCAGTACACATTATTTTTTTGTGGGTATTTGTATACAGTTAATTTTAAATTCATATTATGTTTTTATTTAAAGAATGATTAGTACGGCATTGTCTAATTTAATGAAAGAAGGTTTTGATGTCAAAGCATTAAGAGCATTTCGTGTGCTTCGTCCACTGAGATTAGTATCAGGAGTACCAAGTAAGTAAAGGTGTTTTACATATTTTTTATAATTATAATACATACACATTTTATTTAAAGGTTTACAAGTTGTATTAAATTCTATCTTACGTGCCATGGTTCCATTGTTTCATATTGCTCTTTTGGTGCTATTTGTAATAATAATTTACGCAATAATTGGCTTGGAGTTATTTTCTGGAAAACTTCACAAAACTTGTCGTGATGCTGACACAGGTAAGGTGAATATCGATAGTATAAACTTTAATGTAAATAAAATTATTTCCGAAAGTTTAAAAGTAAATTATTGATTCAAATAATTGAATAAATTTAGTTTGAAAATGAAACTGTCAGCTGCTATGCGCTGTTTAAATTTACGCATATTAAATAGTGTGCAAGCTATTTCAGAGTTATCGTCAGTAGCCTTATTATATTAAATATGGTAAAAATATGAACCAGTTTAACTTAATACTCAAATGGCAATACCGAATAATTAAAATAAAATAAAACATTGAAAAAATTAGAAAATTCGAATTGTTATTGCAAAGTTGGCGTTGTAATTATAGAACAAAAACGCGAAAAATAAACAACTAAAATATAAATTGCTTGAATTTATATTTAGCAGTGAGAGCGACCGCATTAACTAAACATAGCTGCGAAAATATCAGTCGCCGAAGGATTGATACTGTATGTTGCATGGCACATTATCGCTGAGAATTTTGGTTGCATATGTACTTTGTATAGTTGGAATTGCAATTAAGATAATAATCTTAGTCATATTTTTGTGTAAAGTAATTTACTAGACAGTACCAATAGTGATAATAAAGATGGCAAAAGTTTCGGCGGCGGAGAAGAGCACAAAGTTCAAACGATGAACACTTTTTATCATTTGCAAAACATGATAATGATGCTCATTTATAGTAATATACATATATTTATAGTTTCTTTCAATTTATTTCATCTGTTTCTATTCAGTTATTTTACTGACTTTTCTTGCTTAAAGTTTTACTTTACGAAAAAATAACTAACTTGATTTTATTCAAGTGTTTTATTTCTCAGAACCAAAAAAGATCTCGCACTTCACAAGCGCATACATAAAGATTACCATACAATGGATGTTAACACAAAATTAAAATAATACAATACTGTAAAGGCAACGGTATAATGTGCACTTTCTCATCTTAATTCTAAACATATCGCCGCATTTGATGGCTCCAGCAGACATCAACATTTAGATGGAATAGGTGCCAACTTATGGATTGCTCGGCGAACCTCTCCATTCTTTGTTTTTACATCAGCAACTCGAACATAACCTTTAGCATCTCTTGTCACTTTCAGTACTCTCCCAATAAGCCATTGCTTAGCAGACAAATTTTCTTCTGCAATTAACACCACATCACCTTCCTTAAGATTATTCTGCTTCTTAGTCCATTTGACTTTCTGTTGAAGTTCATGCAGATACTCCGCCGATCATTTCCTCCAAAAATGCCGTTGTATGGCCGAAATTCGTAGCTATCTATGTGCATAAGACCATTCTTCGCTGTCCACAGTAGGTTCCACAGTTCCAACCAACGGATCACCTGTTTAGAAATATGCAAGTATTAGAACACTTTCGTCATTTGGATCATTAGACAAGGTTGTCAACGGTCTTGAGTTTAAAACTGCCTTCACTTCAGCAACCACTGTTGCCAGCTCTTTAAACGTTAGGTTCGATTTACTCAATATTCTAGCTAAATGATATTTTGCTGACTATACAGCCGCTTCCCATAGTCCATCAATGTGGGTGGATCTGCGTAGTATATGATGGAATTCAATACTATTAACAGCACAATATTTTGAAATCTTGCCCTGCACCTGCTGATCAAAAAACTTGCGTTTCATTTTTTCGAGCTCTTTACGTGAACCCACAAAATTGGTGGCATTGTCGCAAAATAGTTTTAAACACAAGCCGCGTCGAGCTACAAATCTTTTTAATGAAGCCAGAAAAGCCTTTGCAGTCAAATCAGAGTCCATCTCTATATGCACAGCTTTTGTGACAAAACAAATAAAAACAGCAATATTGTTATTCTGCACCTACGAAATTTATACGTGGTTGGAATAGGGCTGCAAACGTCCACTCCAGTCACAGTGAATGGCTTCGCCACGGTAACTCTAGAAGAGAGTAAATCGCCCATAATCTGATTACTCAATAAAGAATTGCATACAACTACCTGTAATTTTGCGTATTACTCTTCTAGCATAGAAGATCCAAAATCGCTGCCTGATTAGACCACTAGCGCTTGCGTACCAGCATGCAAATATTTGAAATGAAGGAATAATACAAAACTACCAACGATTTCTGAGTTATTCAGTAACAAATTTTGATGTTTAGCATCAAATGCTGGTAATGCAGCATTCGCCAATCTCTCACCAACACGTAGTAGTGGAACACCATAATTATCTTCTACAAAAATGCTTAGATTTTTATATTTACTGTTTGCTGGCAATTCACCTTTACTTAATAGCAGCTGAATTTCTTCTTTAAAATAATATTGTTGCACACAGTAGAATATACGCACTAGGGCTTCATCTAATCTTTCAGTCGTAGACTTAAGCCTCTTCGAAAGACAAAAAGATTGGCAAAAATTCTTTGTAATTTTTCAAAGTTCCTGAAAGTTTCAACCCACTTCATAAAAGAAAGTTTTGAGTTGTCTTCTGCAAGTAAAAAAGACCTGCAAACCAAAAAGAATTAGATAGTTTGTCTACATATGCACATCTTGATATTATATCCGCTGGGTTCGACTTGGAAGAAACATAGCGTCAAATACACGTATTTGTTTGCTCTTCAATTAATGATACCCGGTTGGCAAGAAATGTATTCCAATTTGATGGGTGCTCGCTCAGCCAGTCTTGCACAATTTCGGAATGCGCCCATAAATAAGTCGCGTCAATATGATGAAAATAAATTATATTTGGTTTTTGTCACTAGTTTCGACAGTAATTCTGCAGCCAAAAGTTCTAATTTCGGTAGCGATAGAGATTTTAATGGCGATAATCTGGATTTAGAACTCCACAACTGCACCGTAACGTCGTTGTCCACACATATTGGTCGAATATAAATACAGCATCCCAAAGCTCTTTTCGATGCATCAGTAAACCCATGAATTTCAACGCTAGCAACTCTTTTTTCGGGTAAAACAAATCGAGGCACACTTATTTTCTTGGCATCTTTTAAATTTTCCCGAAATTCTATCCACTTACTGTGTAGATTCATTGGTAGGGATTCATTCCAATTAGCCTTTAAGATCCTCAAATCTTGCATGAAAATCTTTCGCCTTTACGATTAATGGGTTAATAAGCCCAAGGGGATCAAACAACTTGGATAACTCCGATAACACTATTCTTTTTGTCACTGCTTTCGAGCTAATGAAATCTGGCCAAACGTATCGAAACATATCTCCTACTGGATCCCAGATGATACCAAGAGTTTTTATTACATCCTCTTCATTCAGCCGAAGAATCTTCTCTTTATCAGCTTTAGGTACAAAATTAAGAAATTTTTGACTATCTGAAAACCATTTCCTTAACTTGAATTTTGCTGAGTTCATTACTGCTGATATTTAATTATACATTTCAAAAATTTCATCTTCATCGTTTGATTCACTGATGATATCATCTATATAAAAATCAGATAACACCTTTCTCGATCCAATCGGATATTTATCGATATAATCTTCACTTAACTGTTTTAAGCATCTTGTAGCTAAATAGGGGGCAGATGTTGTATCATAAGTAATGGTTCCCAAGCGATAGGCTTTTATGTTTTCGTCTGAGGAAGACCACCACAAAATCGTTTGATAATTCGCATCATCATCAGTCACCCATGCTTGGCGATACATTTTTGTTACATCTGCCGTAATTGCATATTTGTAACATCTAAATCGCAGTATTATAGATAACAGGTCATCTTGAACCAGTGGTCCTTTCATCATTACCTCATTTAATGACAAGCCACTGTCAGTTTTACAGCTTCAATTGAACACAACTCGAAGTTTCGTACTCGTGGAGTCTGGTCGTAGCACATACTGATGCGGTGCAAAATATTTTATATTATCCATATCAGTTTCTTCAACGATCGTCATGTGACCTAAAGAGAGGTACTCATCCATAAATGCGTTGTAAGCGTCTCGTGTAGAGCGATCTCTACTCAACCTACGCTCTAGTGACAGCAACCGTCGTTTGGCAGCATTATAGGAACCACCCAAATCACTCACTGTTGTTTTAAATGGAATTTTCGTAATAAATCTCTACGAATTGATTCACGGAAAATTTTCTCGCATTCCTCTTCTTCTTCGGTTAAAAAATTTGATTTAGTTGAAATCTGTTCTATTTTTCAGAATTTTTCAACCAATTGACTCAAGTTTTCATTCTCATTATGGTTGTGATTGACCAGCATATTATTTATTTTATGACTAGGCGCTAAACATTCCTCTGCTTTGCCTGCAACTATCCACCCTAGTATGGATTTCTGTAGGGTTGGCAACCTTTCATTAAGATAAATTCGTCCAATCGACAACAAATCGAAGAAAATTTCCGCACCAATTAAAATATCTATACGCGCTGGCTTATTGAACATTGGATCAGCAATTTGAACATTTTTTGGTAAATTCCAGTCCGCAACATCGACATAACGATTAGGTTTGGAGCTTGTTATTTTCGGTAAAACATAAAATTGCAGACTGACTTCGAACTCATTTATTCTTGATTTGATGGTAGCCACAGTCTTTGTTTTAAAGCTAGTTACAACGTCTCCAACACAGCTAGCATCTAATTTACAAGACGTTTTTTTTAGTAACAGTTTTTGAGCAAGATTCTCACACATCAAATTTACTTGAGAGCCAGAATCTAATATGGCTCGCATTTGGTGATATTTGCCAAACTTGTCCGCTACCATTACTACTGCTTTTGCCAAAAAAACCTCGTTTTCAGTCATTACGTTCATAACTGATGACTGAGCTGTCGCCTGTGTTGACGTAGATGGCCAATTTTTACAGCTTTGTTCAAGACTTGATCTTTATGTAAAAGTTGATGATGAGATCCACTGACTCTTCTCATTTAATCTGCGAATCTTCGTCCACTCTTTTCATCACCATATGAATTATGGCATTCGCTATACACAAATACAAATATTGTTTTATTTTTAAAAGAAGCAATTTGATTTCAATAAAGTGTAGTATATCTGCATATTAATTATACTA